CCTTCCTTCCTTCCTTCCTTCCTTCCTTCCTTCCTTCCTTCCTTCCTTCCCCTTTTAGCCAGCCTTGCAGCTCCTTCACGGGGCTCCCTACAGGCCTCCAGTGGAAGCCACCCCACCTTTTATGCCACATCTGTAATTGCCTTTTTAGATAAATAGGGCAGAGTCATTAGTAAATTCCAGTGGAGTAAAAGCAGCTTCCTCACCCTGCCATTAATCAAGAAGGCACTTCAGGTGGGGAGAGGGGGGAGGACCCTGCTCTGGATGAGTGTAGGAACAGCACAGGAGGCATGTTGAAAGGAGCACCTCAACTGGGCACTCCCATGTAAATGTGTATGTGTGGAAGGCGGTGGGGAGGTCTGCAGAAATAAGGCAAACCACCTGTAGATTGTTCCCCAGCATCCTTAGCTATACACTTCAGTATCAATCAGGAAGAGGACCTTTTCGGTTGTAGCACCCCCCCTCCCCGGTGGGCCACTCTCCTAGAGAGAAGACACTTGTCAAATTTCAGTTCAGACCCATGCTGGAAACACGCGGATGATTCACCTTGCAAATATCGTATCAGGATGACCTGTTCCACCACTCATGACTATCAACGTATATGGTATCAGTATATTTTAAGCTGCTCGTTGCTGGTATGTTTTACTGCATTTTAAACTGTGCACAGTGACAACGCAGCCGGTGGCCTAGAAAGTTTCAAGAAAGACTCTGATCTGCTACAAGGGCATTCGGAACTTCTCCAGGAATAAGAGAGGACGGGGAGGGCCATGGATGCTCCCCCTCCCCCTGCAATAACGTGGAACAGCTTTCCCCCACCATAATTATTCCTCAAGCATCCTGCTGAGTTTTGCTCTTTCCTCCCAGGCTGCCTGGGGGGAGGGGAGGGGGGAGATGGCCCCATCTGGTGGGGGCAGGCAGGGGCTGGCTTCAGAGGGACCAAGCCCATCCCACAGGTGCAGAGTGCCGGGTGGGGTTTTCCATCTGTCTGCTGAGCAGCTAACTGTGGCCCCAGGGAGGCAATCTGTTAAACTGGGGTCTAACACCGCCCTGAGCAGTTGTGGAGGCCAGCCCTACGGGGCAGCTGGCGGGCAGTTTAATCCAATTAATTGGAGACGGCAATTGCTTTCTCACTGTGCCAAGGAGCTGGCGCCCTGGGGATGCAGGTCGGGGCCTGGGCAGAAAAGGCAGATGGAGGCCAGACTCAGACCCACATTCTTGGGTTTGGCTTGGGGAAAAAGCTGCTGGGCCGCCCATTTCCTTGTCCCTAAACTGGAGAGGAACTATAGATCAGAGGAGGAGCATCTTTTTGGCATGCAAGATTCCCGAGATCGATCCCGCATCTCCTGGTACAGACAGGAAAGCAAACATCGCCCCCGCCCTATCACCTCCCTTGCCATCTTGAGGCTAATGAACCCATATTGGACTACCAGGCAATTGCTCTGATACAGGATAAGAGAGTATCCCCCTCCATTAGCTGGGAATCTTGCTCAGTTTCTTGAAACATTCCCACATACGTTTGAGTCTATTTTTGCATCAGGAAAGGCTAGACCCACTTTTTAAAGATAATTTTTAGGATGCTAAATTCTGCCTTTAAAACATTTTGTATTTTCACATATTGTGATCCTGGAAAGCTGGGTGGGTGGATTGAGAGGAGTCATATGTCAGGTTCAGTTGGGCCTCCAAAGGATGAGGGAGGTCGTTTAATTAGGAATGGAGTTTCCTGGTGGAATCC